CCACAAACAATTTGCTTTTTGGAAAAAGGACATAACCAACCAGACATAAGAAAAACCACAACAAACCCAACATAAAACGTTGTCACATAACAGGACCCCTCACAAAAACCGCATGAAATCATACTCCCACTCCTGGCCTAACCCACCAGGAAGGACGTCCTGAGCATGCTCTATAGCCGGCCTAACCCACCGCGCTACATCCACGCTTTGTGACCACACCTCTATTTTTAATAAGAGCTACTCAAGTGTGAGTAACTCTTCAAAATAACCGAACTAAAACAAAAAGCTTTTGTGAAACAACTAACTAAAATCATAATTAAAAAATATTAAACTAATAAATGTTTTATAAAATGTAAATTACATTATGCAATACATAGATCAGAATACAACACCAAGGACGAACATCTAAAGACAAAACGACCCCACTACACTCGAGAGAGAATGACCAACCACAATCGATATGCCACTCACAATCACAACTCAAAGGATTTAGAGTACGACTTGACTTCGCAGAAAAGGACTTCATTGAACTAGACCAATGACCACCTCGATGTTCAAGTATACGTACAGATCCGAGTAACCAGGCATCCCCTCCACGCACAATCTCCACGCCATTCCCAAACTAGATCAGACACAAAAGAAGTTCTCCACGCAGAACAGAAAAACCTGACATAGCCAACCATTCTGAAATCAGATTTGAGTTTGTTGCGAAGACTTAGTCGTTGTCACTAGAAGACACAACGTCTTATGTCTCTAACTCCAGCTTCCTGGAACTTCTTTAACAAAAAGGAAACAGAAGAAATAAGATGTTCGCCAAACACCAACGTCCATCATCCATCCTTCGAATTGCAGAAGAACTATTCTAAAAAACTCTGTAAAACCCGGATGGGTGGAACCTGATCTAAACTACATTTTATGATTGGATAATTTAGATATTTTACCAATGTAAAGTATTTAATATTAACCAATCATGATCCATCTAACTAACAACCCACTTATTTGTAAGTGCTGAAGTTACTTGTAATTTCAGCACCAGAGAGATTTGAATTTAACTTAGAAATTAGTTGGACTCTCCCGAGCACTTCAGCAACCGCAATAAACCAGTATACCCTAGATCTATTGAGCCTAGCAGAGACTAGTTAAACAACCTGAGACTAGATAGTATAAGAGTAAGATTAGGATCGGTATTAGACTAAGAAGTTGCACGAATCTATCCGGCCGAAAATAAGATAGCGTGACGAGCAGACGGTGTACCCTATCCGAAATTACTCTATGAGTTAACCAACTCGGTCCTAACTCAATAACCAAATACTAAGAAAGAAGCGAGTCCCTGTTGTATTGTTGCTCACTTTAAAAGCCAAAATTCAATAATCTGAGAGTTTAGTGACCATTTCAGTCGATAATTTGGGATCTGATTCTAGCAATTTTACCATTTTTCCTTTACAGTTCTCTGCTTCAAGTTTGAAAATAAATTAATTACCAGCAGAAATATTTGGTTGAATCTGTTGTTAAAGTTTTATTTTGATATCACAAACAATGGTTAGCCAACACGACAATTTGGTAGCTCATTATTTCACCATTAAAGCTTTTTTTGATAGTCTATAGATAGTTAAACTGAGGTCTATTTAAGCGGACTATTAATAATAAATGAAATTGGGCCTCCTGTTTTCGGATGGAGACTTACTTAATGTCTTTTCTTTTTAATTCTTCTATTTTGAAAACTTGAGCAATCTACGCCAAAAGAAAATAGCTTACCTTGAGTTCAATATTTATTCATCAATATCTACTTTGTGGAATAATATTACTTCTTACTTAAAAGCAAAAAGCATCTTAATAAGTACTTTTTGGATAAAAACTACAAATTTAATTTAGTTCATTTTCTGATAAAAAGCTTAGCCGATATTACTTCAACAATTTGATTCTGTCAAACTTTTAAGTAATAAGCTCAGGAAGTTTCCTTGAGAGCAATCAGTTTTGAGAAAAACGCGCTTTAAAATGATGCCATGCTAGTTTTAACGGTATGACCAAATGAGCATATAGTATTTAAATCAATGTGTGACTTTTTTTTCTAGATTCAGCGGTTCTACCCGCGCTGACCTCCATAGACCGAATATGCTAATCATACAATTCCATAAACTAAGTCTATGGAAAAGGGGTAGTCGTACAAATTTTATACGCTTTGCTAAAATATTGTCATCGAAATTTCAAGGAACACTTTTTTCTTATTTTGGCATAAAAGTTGTTGTATCGTATTAAAATTTTAAAAAAACTTCTTTAAAAAAATGCTAGCAGTCATACAGATGGAAATTGTATGACTAACTTTTTTTGATAGCGACAACAAAAAATGTTTCAAGTATTTTTGAAACCACCCAAAAAAATTTGTATTGTTTTTCAACCGCAAATCGAATTTGTACTCAAACAAAAATGCATAAAAATTTTTTTTGAATGCATGCAAAATTAAATTTTTGTGTTCATAACGTAGTCCTGGATACGCTAGTGTGGGAGTTTTTTCCTTTTCGCCTAATAATTTTTTTTAAAAACGCTTAAAATTCTTGTTTTGTATGGCATGTTTATGTAAGCCTTGATCAATGTCTGATCATTTAAAAAATTTAATTTGTTTGTTATATCATTTAAAGTTTGTTATATCATTTGAGTAAAACAGCTCTAAGACAATTCATGTCAATTTTTATTCATGCAATAATGCAATACTTTTTTTATACATGAGTAAAATAAGCAATGTATCATGATTAGCTATAGAGGTTTCCCTGCTCTGAGAACTTTTTTGTAAAGCCACCAATAATTTGATTAATGAGCTCAAACTAATTTTTCTAAACTACCACAGAAATTTACCGCCAAAGTTGTCGATACTAGTTTTTTGAAAGGTGAATAATCTTCAAGCCTTTATTATAACTTTTCATTTTATCTGTCATCAAAGTATCGATGTTTCTTTAGGGCCCTAGCTGGAAATGAATTTTCATTTTCAGAACTGTGGAAAAGCATTAGTTGAAATTCTGTTTCAAAACAATACTGAACATTGATTGGGTCAATTAGATTTTAATTAAATAGTTTTGCTGCCACTTTTTCAAAATCAAAGTTTTTTGACACCAAATAGATACCTTAAAAGTAGGAGAGATCTCTAACTTAAAATCGCTGAAACTCAAATCGTTTGGTTGTTGCTTCTTGTTACATAAAAGTTTCAATCACCCAGGAAAAAAAAATCATCCACAAATTCCAACCTCCTGCATAGAAAATATATGTCACATGATTGATACACCTTGTTCATTGATGTTTTTTGCAAACTAATTCTCGGCGTCTTGTATAAAATTTTGATTATTGAAACTATTTTTTTTTTCAGTTTTTAGGCTAAAAACTGTGATATATGTTAACAATCCGTCCATATGTAATTAAAGAGTTTTAGTCACTACAAAGCAAACGTGTGGTAAATGTACTGGAAAGCAAGTTTGTCAGTGCCATACAAAACAGGCAACTTTTAGTCAAGCTTTTTCTAAATCTTTATGATTTTTTTGTAACTTTTTTGGAACCTAGTGTTGTTGATTTTGTCTATTTAGAAAAAAAAATTTTTTGAATTTCGGTTTATGAATGTGGTCAGTTCCTTATGAGCTAATTGCATAGCAACTAGCTATATTGCTTGTATATTTACTGCTTTGATTTTTGTCTTTTTCTAGAATTTTTTTGCCCCTATTTTACAGCAAAGCAGATATTTTCGGATACTTGAAACAGATAATTTCGTTAAAATATGAGTTTAAGATTTTCACCTGCATAGTATTTCAATGAGTTATGCTTAAGTTTCTTGTTACCAAAAATATATGAGGCGACAGTTTGTTGCAAGCAACTGTTGGTCGCTGGCGACAAATAGTAGCATTTGCAAAAGCGAAATTTCGATGCAAGTCAACTTTTCGAAAAAATTGTGCAACTAATTCGAACTGAATTGATTTTACAATGCGCAGCAACCAAGAGGCTATGCCTTAGCGAATGTATGACTCGATATGGAATGTTTCGCGGAAAAATATAGTAGATAATCCTGAACAGATGGCTTTGCGACCAATTGTCGTTGTTTGTAATTGCGACTAATTGTCACTTGCTAAGAACTGTTGGTTGTGACGATTTGTCGCCGTTCCCTACAAATATATTGATGACATAAAAAGACAAATTTATAATAATTTGCCAAATTTAATTGTTTTGGATTGGATGGGAACTATCATTTTTTAAAATTTGTACCTCAAACAGTCAAACTCAAACAAACAGCCTCTGGCAATTTTTGAATGACGCATTTGGTCGATATATCTGTCACCCGAAATCTGAAGATGTTTTTTAACTAGAGCAAAATTATAAAAACACAAAATCTCTGAGAAGGGTATAAATATTTTGCCTTTTAATCGCCAAACAGCTTTTATCGTTTCGGTACATGGTTGTTATGAAAATCAGCTCAAGAATTTTAGTGTAGGGTTTCGTTAAGGTTCCAATTGAATCAAACACATGTTAAATGGTCTGAAAAACAACCTGAAGCCAAGTATAATGTCATATCAAGTTATTACAAACTGGTACGTTTCTTGCGGGGAAAGCGAATACGAGAAACAGTGATCTAAACTAGTGATATTTTTTCAGACTAAGGTCAAAGGAACATTGGCTGAATGGTTTAAAAATCAGACCAAAATAGTGTCGCAGCAAACAAGCAGACCGGCAGAATCATAGCGGAAAATAGAGATCTAGACTTGTATGTGATCTTGTCAGACTGCGAGTCTGACTTACCACCCCAGCGAAGTTTATGACCGCTTACCTTTTCAACTGGCGACTATAAACAAGCCGCTTTATGGAATGCGTCCTCCTTCATTTACAATTTCGCCGATTCTCTGGAAACTAATCGGCCTCTGTTGTATCAACTGCCATTCAGCACATCATTTTTTTGATATTTAATTAGCATATATTTTGTCTGGGAGGAGTTTAGCTTAGCAGTTGGCCATAAAAGGAAATATCTGCTCGCTGTGGTGTTACGCTTTCGTTGTTACCAAATAGTAGCTAATTACTTGATCACATGTTTTTTACAGCTCTTTTCTTTTGAATTAAAGTGCACTGTACAATCATTCTGCCTCTTGGGGTTATTATAAAACGTAGGTTGAATGATGCGGTTCGTTTTTTAAAACATTACGGATCAAAACGAGAACTTCAAAGGTAAGTCTGTCAAAATTGCTTTACTAGTAACAAGTAACAACAAAGGTGGAATTGGGCGGACCCGGGTCAGGATGCTCACTCTATGTTCCGACTATCTCGATCAAAATTCGGTATGTTCCGACAGTTTCTGCCAATTTTGCGCGTTTTTTACCGTCTCGGCCGAATTCAAGCTAGTTGCAAATTCGAGCTTGTTCGACTGAAAAAGTGCTCGACTTTTGTTGACCCACGCCAGATATGTTTTGACCGTTTTGACCAAGAAAACATGCTCGGACTTTGGACGACTCATGTAGGATATGTTTTGACGACCGTCTCGACCCAGTGCGGTGTGTTTTGACATCCAATTTACATGACTAACCAAAATTTAAAAAAAAACAAATATTAGCTTATCTGGTAATATGTAATATCCCAATAACTTATTTTATCAGCATCAAATAAAAAATAGTTTAAAACTGAAACGCTCTGTTGAGATAAACTACTCTTAAATTGTGTTTTTCCATCTAATGAATTTTAAATTTTTTGTTCCAAGCATTGAAATACAAAATTTTGTATTTGGGTGTGTTTTAGTTTTTCGTTTTTATTTTTCCACGCAAAATCAAGTAACACAAATAGTCATCAAAATGGGTTGCGTGATATATCATATTAAAGCCATTTCGGTCCTGATTTGAACGACTCTAAAATTGTTCAAAAATGCGGCAGTATTGATAAAAACAGGTTAAAAAATTTTGCTTTTTAGTCTAAATTTGAACCAATCAAGGCAGGCTTACAACAGCTTAATTATGTTTAATAAATTCAATTTAAGCCGTGAAAACCTAGTTTCACTGAATTAATGTTAGTTTTTGGGAATCAAAAACTTCAACAATCCAAAAGTTTCGAAAAGATTCGAACTTGCATTTTTAAAGAATATGTTCGGAAGATTCTGTACCTGACCAGAAACCGGCTAGCACTGTTCAATTTCTGCCAATAGAGCAAAAAAAAGGTATATTTCGACCGTGCTCGAGGTATGCTTTGGCCGTAATCGACATATGTTTTGACCGCGCTCGACCAAATTTCGATTTGTTTCTTCCGTGCTCGAAGTAAGTTTTGAGTTTATGCTCGACCCAAACCCGTGTATTGAAAACTTCTTTTTGGTTGAGCACAATATATATTTCGCACTATTAACGCGTAAGCGGAGGGTTAATCCGTTTTAGAAGTTGTTCCAAATTGTTAAAGGAAGCTTGTTTGCCATAATTGGTTTGTTACAAGGAGCGAAATCTATCCTTTTGTACTTTATATGGCGTGTGGGGGGATGATTGTTGATAAAAAATTTCAAATTAAAAAAAAAATTCATTTTTCTTATTTCAGTGAAATTTTTAATGTTATTACTGCTCCATAAACCTTAATTTGGGTGCCCTGATACCAGCAATGATACCAGCAATTTTGTTTTTTTAAATTGCATGTAAGATAACAAGTTTCAACAAGATTTTAAAATAACCCTCTTTGTGGACAGCGACTACATTAGGATTATTATTGAAAAACTAAGTTTAGAGCCCCAAAACAAAAAATAACTTTGTGATTGCTTCAACGGAGCCAAAACAAAACCTTTTTGTTGTAAAATTCTGGGTGCGAGTTTCCTAAAATAAATTGCCCTATATTAATTCCAATAAAATTCAGTGTAATTTTTGTTCTGATCTTTTGGTTTCATGTGAACCTATTTTGGAAAAAATGCGATGAAAACTTCTAGTTTTTGTCGTTTGTCCGGACATTAAATCGGTACTGTATTGGACTATAAAACAAAACAAGACTGCTCGTATCAGGGCGAAGCCCTGAATGTTCCGACCGCCTTTTAAGGGTTTTATGGAGCAGTAATAACATTAAAAAATTAAATGTAATTAAATAATAAGAATTTTTTTTCTTCTAAAATTTGAAATTTTTATGAAAATCATCCCCCCACACGCCATTTAAAGTACAAAAAGATAGATTTAGCTCCTTGTAACAAATCAATTATGGCAAATAAGCTTCTTTCAACCAATTTGGAACAATTTTAAGACGGATTAACTCTCCGCTTGCGCGTTAATAGCGCGAAATTATCGCGCGTTAATTGTCCCAAATTGGTCAAAATGGCCAAAATGGCAATCTTTAAAGCCCCATAACTTTACCAAAACTGATCACAGGTAAAATATTTTTTCAAATTTAAGCTCCGGACAACAATATCTTTTGTTTGATAAAAAAAAATTCCGTCACAAATGGCTAGTTAAAAAGTCGAAATTTGTCTGAAGAAAAAAAAACCCACCCGAGCACAAATATTCCGTTACTTTCGTATCGAAAGTCGGAACAATAAATATACACAAATTCCACCAAGTATCGCTGGGTTCCACAATCTGGTAATGGATTTCGTAGTAAACAATCTCGAATTTGTTGTTTTTTGCCTCTCATTTGTACCTTTTGTCGCCGGATTCCGTATTTTGTCACAGATTCTACAAACTGTTTCTGGATTGCGTGGTTTGTTTTTGAGCATGAATAAACTTGCGTTGTTGTTCCGACTTTCGATACGAAAGTAACGGAATATTTGTGCTCGGGGTGGGTTTTTTTTTTCTTCAGACAAATTTCGACTTTTTAACTTGCCATTTTTCACGGAATTTTTTTATATCATTCAAATATCATTTATGTCCTGAGCTTAAATTTGAAAAGATATGTCACCTGTGATCGATTTTCGTAAAGTTATGAGGGTTTAAAGATTGTCATTTTGACCAATTTGGGACAATTAACGCGCGATATAATTCGCGCTATTAACGCGTAAGCTGAGATTTAATCCGTCTTATAAATCGTTCCAAATTGGTTGAACGAAGCTTATTTGCCATAATTGATGTGTTACAAGGAACGAAAACTATCTTTTTGTACCTTTATATGGCGTGTGGGGGGATGATTTTCATTAAAAATTTCAAATTTTAGAAAAAAAATTTTTCATTTTATTTTATTTCATATAATGTTTTTATGTTATTACTGCTGCTCCATAAGACTTCAAAAGCAGTCGGAACATTCAGGGCTTCGCCCTGATACGAGCAGTCTTGTTTAACTTATGGCCTTTTTTTAGAATGCACTGAGAATACACTGAGGTAGTGTTTCCTCCCATACTTTGACTATTATGCTATACAATTATGCTAAACCCTCACAACGTTATGCTATACTTTAACAATTGATTTTTTGTTTCCGATTTTTTAAATAGTAGCACTTATTTTTGCTTCAGTTGCACCAATTGCGTATAACAAAAAATTAAATAAACAAGACTGCTCGTATCAGGGCGAAGCCCTGAATGTTCCGACTGCTTTTTAAGGCTTATGGAGCAGCAGTAAGAACATAAAAAATTAAAAAGAAATAAAATGAAATGAAAATATTTTTTTCTAAAATTTGAAATTTTTTATAAAAATCATCCCCCCACACGCCATATAAAGTACAAAAAGATAGATTTCGTTCATTGTAACAAATCAATTATGGCACATAAGCTTCGTTCAACCAATTTGGAACGATTTATAAGACGGATTACATCTCCGCTTACGCGTTAATAGCGCGAATTATATCGCGCGTTAATTGTCCCAAATTGGTCAAAATGGCCAAAATGGTAATCTTTAAACCCTCACAATGTTACGCAAAATGATCACAGGTGAAATATCTTTTCAATTTTAAGCTCAAGATAACAATACCTTTTGAATGATATAAAAAAATTCCGTCAAAAATGGCTAGTTAAAAAGTCGAAATGTGTCTGAAGAAAAAAAAACCCACCCCGAGCACAAATATTTCGTTACTTTCGTATCGAAAGTCGGAACAATAATTTAAGATTTTTTTGTTCTATTTGTGGTTGTAACCGCTGGGCAAGAGATAAAGGTTCGTAAAAATATGTTTTAATGGCAGGCCTCCATGAATTTCAAGCACTATTTTGTTTTCGAGGAACAAAATTTGGGTAACATCCCTAAGTTGGCGTAACGCTATTTCATGCTGAATTAGTTATTTATCAGATATTACTTAACATCAAATTCCAGAGTACCATTCCATTTGAGTTGATATTGACTTTTTGTAACGAAACATATAGCTCACTCATAACACTTGGAACCTGAGCTGAATTCAGTCATAGAGTTGATCTGCAACAGTGTTGAAAATGCAAGAACACTTTTTCGTCAAGTTAATCAGATAAACAGTAAAAGCATCTAACCCAAGCATCCCTCAGTGAAAGATTCGCCTAACTGCTCAATATTTCATGCATAAATAGATATCTAAATACAGGAATAATTAATTGACAAAATGCCATTGAGGGTATATTTTAGTTTGTATTGCTCGAATCCGCAAAAATCTTTCGAAACTTGAATTGCAGTTCAATCAAGAATGATATAGCTTCAAAATATTGATAAACTTAGAACTTCATAAAATTTTGTTTCTATGCTATACTTTAACAAGACTGCTCGTATCAGGGCGAAGCCCTGAATGTTCCGACTGCCTTTTAAGGTTTATGGGGCAGTAATAACAAAAAAAAGTAAATGTAAATAATAAAATGAACATTTTTTGTTAAATTTGAAATTTTTTTAATGAAAATCATTCCCCCACACGCCATATAAAGTACATCATTTTTTGTTCTAAAAATTTGAAATTTTTTAAATGAAAATCATCCCCCAACACGCCATTTAAAGTACAAAAGGATAGATTTCGCTCCTTGCAACAAATCAATTATGACAAATAAGCTTCTTTCAACCACCAACTTAGAATGATTTCTAAGACGGATTAAGTCTCCACTTACGCGTTAATAGCGCGAAATATATCGCGCGTTAATTGTCCTAAATTGGCCAAAATGGCAATCTATAAACCCCCGTAACTTTACGCAAAATGATCACAGGTAAAACATCTTTTCAAATTTAAGCTCAGGACATTAATGGCTTTCGAATGATATAAAAAATTCTGTTCAAAGTGGCTAGTTAAAAAGTCGAAATTTGTCTGAAGAAAAAAACCCACTCCGAGCACAAATATTCCGTTACTTT